AATGAGATTAATTAGGGAAATACGTCGTGTAGAAACGTCTATCCTTTTGATTGACCGACAATTCTGTCCATTTTTTCTATTGTACAACGAAACGGGAAATCCTCCAATCGCATACAAACAATCTCCGCCAAGGTAGACGACGAACCCTCTTACGTCCGCTTTCGTTCTTTCACTTCTTTCCGCCATTTTCTTCTTTCCTCCGAATCTTCTCTCCCCCCCTCTCTCTTTGCTTCCTCCCTAACCAAACCCCCCTACCTCCTCGCTCACACTACTTCGGTTACACCACTCCTTCACGTCCTTCAATTTTCTTTGAATGAAAAAACCGCGACGAGAGCGGAGACGATATTCGATCTCGCGCCCAAGTAACCGCTTAGTGTCTAAATATAAAAAGTAAAAAAACTATTAACAAGAAAAAAACGTTACTCTCTAAATAACGAGCGAGCAAACAAAATAAAAAAAATGAAGTAAATAAATAAATAAATAAACGCTAAATAATTACATTTACTTAAAAGGTAAAACACGATTTTAGATGACGTAGACGTATTTAAAAGAGGAATAAACGAAATGAAATAAATCGAAGGAATAAGCGAAAAAAAAAAAAATAAAATAAAATGAAATAAACGATGGAAAAAACGAGATTAGAAGAAGAAGAAGAAAAAAAGAACGCTTCCTTTAACATAGTTTCCTCGTCAACAGACCAGAGGGCCAGAGGCACGCGCGCGCGCGCACCGCGAGAATACAGCCATCTTCCATCCTTTGCTCTCCGGTGCAGGATCTTCTACAGACGAATATATATATATATATATATACTTTGCCTTGAACGAGAAAAAGTGAAAAAAAAAACAACAAGAAACAAAGAGAGAAGAAACAGTAAAAAAAAACACACACACAATTGTGCCGTTTTTTCAACAAAAAGATTGCAGAAAGAGACGTCCATTTGAGGAATATTTCGAAGAGCGATACAAAGAAAATAAAAATAAAAAATACGGATACCCTCTCGTACATCTGGTCCCCATCACACCCCACACCCTTGCCCAGAAACACACATTCTTGATCTTCGTTACGACTAAAAGGAAAAAAGAGGAAAAAGGAAAACAAGAAAAAAAAAAAAAAAAAAAAAAAAAAAGAAAAGAAGAATATCGAACCCTCGTTCGTCGAAGTGAACGCAAACTATTAAAGTTCTAACCCCCCGCTTCTTCTGTGCTAGCGACTTAGACAAAGAGGACGTTGAATAATTATCATTTAATAATTAATCACCCGTGAATCTTATTCGAGGGAAATGAGGAAAAAAACGAGAAAGAGAAACTGGTATTCAAGTTATTCAAGTGGAAATCTTGTAAACCTTATTACATCGAGCCTTGTACATCGTCCATTTGAAACGCCGTGTCGAAAGGAGTCGCTTGGAATCGCTCGCTCCACTCTTTCGGCGGGAAATTTTAAAAACGATCACGACGCGCTGCTCTTCTTCGAGTTCGCAGTTCCTTCGACTCGGTGAAAGCGTTTCAAGCGATTACGACTGTTTTCATGTTTGACGCGACGCTTCGTGGATATAGGATGGCCAACTCTAGGATAGATAGATAGAACACGTGTCATCGCAACAATACAGATCGTCTAATCGATTATAATCCTGAACGAATTATGTGAACGAACGCGCACAACGATTTATTCGAAGAAAACGTCAAAACGAGTGCTCGTGTTTTCCCTTGCTTCACGTGTGAGCTTCTGCGCCTATTGCGAAAACGCTTTACTAGACCCTTTTCTGATCCGAATACATAGAGGGACACATATATATATATATAAATATATACACACACATACACACAATAATACACATATACACATATGTATTATTACACGTTTAAATACACAGATACGCGAGTTATCATATCGTGGTAGAGATGTGTTAGTTAGGTGTTCTTGGTCATTTATACGTATGCAAACGCGCACGCCTGAGCTACGCTACAATTAGAGGATGGTCATTATTAATATATCTATATCTATATGTAGTGTGTAATATTAATCGCCCAAAATGTTTATATACTATTAGAGATAGATAGCCGCTTAGGAAGTTGCACGGTGTCACTTTTTGCTGATCGCTAGTTTCGAATGCCCTCCCCCCCCCGTTCCGCGTCGAGGCCCCACTTTATCGTTGCTGTCTTAAAAAACACGTTCTTCTATGATATCGATATCTCCCCAAATTACTCGAAATTCGCTTTAGAAAGTTCGAAATATCGGCTAGTACTTCGTCGTAGGGATTTTTAACACGTTGACTCGAGATTATTCGCGAGGTTATTCGGTGTTTGTGATAATTACAGTGATAATTAGATGATTCGGTGGATCGTTCAATGTTAGAACTATCAAACTTATCGAAATTGGCGGATGATCTATAAAGATGTGTAGATACTTTTAACAAAATTAATTTTAATTCTTTTAATTTCCTTCTCGAAAAAGATATCGAAAATTTTTTTTTCTCACGAGCCTTTCAATTATATTTAAGCCGTGGATTCTAAACTAGTTCTAAAAAAGTTTAATAAATAAATAAGTAAAGCGAGAGGAAAATTAGTTTCACGCCATCGCGAAGAAAATATTAAATCGTCGTAGTGATTTTGATTTGACTACAGAGTCAACAGAGTTAAAAAAATTATTAATACGATCAGTAAAAGTTTTTCTTTTATCCTTGATAGACAATGATAGATTGATCGCATCTATAGTTCCAGATACACAATTCTAGTTACTAAGCGTTGTCCTTTTAAAATAAAACTAAAAACACACGACTACGCAGACGCTCGCAGCGCAATCTGACGAATAGGTTCCTAGTTGGTAAAGTGTTCCTCGTGCGAAAAATTCAAAAATTTAAATTCAATTCAATAGGCCACAGTTTTTCTTTTTTCTTTATAAACAGATCGATTTTATTTAGATTCCGATTCGAAGATATTTCGATTTCAGTTCAATCGGTCATCGATCAGGCGATGGAAAAATACGGTGGAATCAGAAAAAGATTACGCCGATATATTCTGAACGTTTTTAACTCGACAACGATGCTCGATGGGTGCTCGACTCGCATCACTTAATAAAAATAAAAAAAAAAGGACTTTCGTTCGAACACTTTTTCTCCGAGTGTTCCAGTGTCGGCCATATTGAACGTATTAGTGTTCCATTCATTTTTCGCGATGTCTACGGCAAAAAAAGAAAAAAAAAGAAAAAACGATAACAAAATGCCTGTATAGCCTCGAATGAAACAGAATTAATCCGGTGTTACTTATACCTCTACTTGTTGTAATATCTCGAGACAATTGCTTGATTTCCTCTCTGTCCTTTACTACCCCCCCCCCCC